CCCACATTCGGGTTAACGTGGCGTATGAATAATTTAATGTTTTGGTTTTTAGTATTCTCGTTTTTTGGCTGCCGTTAGATGAATTTTATTCACACAGCGTCCTCCTGCTGCTGAACCAAAACAGTAGTAGCTCCCCCCAATCAGTGCTCGGCATGGCCCTATCTATTGTGGGTAGGAAAAGATTCTGCCACAGCTTCGATTTGAATTGGAAGTGAAAACCTTTTGGTTAAAGGTAAATTTTCTCCGTTCAATGCTCTGCTTTCGAATTCATTTTCCATTTCCCAATTGACAAGCATTTGTAAGGCAGGGAACGGAAACTGCGTTTGTTGGCCGTCAAAAGGAAGCAGTAAATCGAATCGAATTTCAGGATAAATGTAAGCATGCATGTGAAAGCATAATAAATAATAGAGCATAATTGATATGTTTGATTGCAGATCAATTTGCATTCACTGGAAAACCTATGTCTGTATTGGCTGCCACAGAAAGGCGAGTCCTGGCCACACGATTGCGATGATGAGCCGGGACTCTCCTATTCCCCCAGGTGACAGCTAATGTCTGTGAATTGTGAGCTGTGAAGTGGCACTCTCCACTTGCCCCACTTAATGGCGCACCCAAAGCATTCCTTTGGACATTTCATATCGCTTACTCAACGGTCTCTCTGGAAAATCTAAGGAATATGGTCTCGTCTATGGTTCTTTAACAAACTAGCATTAGTGGAACCTTTTACCTTATCATTGGATGTATTTTTGTTGGCTTCTTGTCCCTTAACAGACTGCGAGATAAACTCTAAATATCATAAACTTGTGAAAAATATATCCCAGCAGATGCGACACATGTCAGTCGGAAAAAGAACCCTTCAGGAAAGGGCCAAACTTTCTAATTGCAACAATGAAACTGAGTACTGAATGTCAAACACATATTTCTTCAGCTATTTCACTTGCAACTATTTGCTAAATTATATTTATCGTAGTTTGTCTTGTTAGGTGTAAAAAAATGAATACGAAATAGTTCTCATTAAAAAAGTAAGAGTAATCGAAGGTATAGAATGATTTGAATTACTGTCAAAAGCTAATTTACTTGTTAATGTATGCTGAATGATTAAGTAACTTATATCATCAACCTATATGTCCCTTTGTGAAATGCTGCCACTGGCATATGTTTTATACAATTCACTGTAATTGAAAACTATTTGCTATATGTGTAATTTCTTTTTACAATAAGCTGCTCATTAAAATTTATCCTGCTTTCCTACATTCTTTACAATCAAGTCAAAACAAAAACACTTCCTTTGCATTTTATTCAAAAAAAAGAGCCGCTCATTTTTCCAATAAATGATATAAAATGTTTTTATTGACTTGAAATGATTTTCCGGAAGCTTGGTTGAAGACAGGATGTCATAAAAATTTACTGTTTCCTGCTTATTGGAATGAGTAACTTAAATAATAAAAATACAAATTAACCTTTCTATAGCCATACAAATAGAATAATCTCTTTCATATAAAATGCGCAGTTCCATTCCAAAAAGAGTAAATAGTAAGTATTTTTAATGTAATGATATTTACCTTAAAGTGTTTACTATCTTCATCAGCTGCAGGGCAGCTTAATTCCTTCGTTCCTATATACTTTCGTTAGAATTCTTTTACACAATGCGACAGCTCCTGAGAGATTGGAAAAGTTTTGCTTTTTTATTATTATTTTTTCCTTCTTTCGTCCTCAACCAAAAATGAAAACCTGTAAAATGTCTTTTAGTGGTCAAAATTTTTAGTAGTTTCACCCACCTTCTTCCCTTTTTGACTCGTTCAAGTGCCTGTTAGCTTAGATTCAATTGGAAAATTTGTTTTAAAATAATCTCATTTCATATCGGAACAATACAGCACAATCATCTATGAACTTACCATCCAACACCATAACTCACTACGTTTAGCCAAGGGTAATAACTTATCGTTGAATCATATGTCCGTGGAGTAATGTTTTGATTAGACGGCCAACAACAGTCGACAGCACAGACATGTCAAGTGCCGTCCTCTTGCCCTGGCCACATATACAAACAAACCACATACATCATACAGAATATTGTCAAACAGACACTTACAAATTTGCGGCTAACAAAACACTGTCCAACTCTCATCCTGTCTCGCACTAATTGATTTAATTTATGTGAGTGGTCACGAAACTCAATAGATGCGCAATTTGAGTGCCTATAAGGGGATATAATATACAAATACAATACAATAGAAATATATTTTTGACCTCTATGTCAGAGAAGCCTGACGTTAAGTGTTGGTGCACTAAGTACATCTGATTTTTTTGTAACTAAAAAATTAAAAAACAGATTTCCGGAATAGCTCCGCAATACAATAGTGCTTTCAGTATTATGGTTGCAGAAACAAAAGTTTTGACTTAAATTAATATTGAATCTGCTAAATAGAATCTAAAATGTCGTTTAAATGATTAAACTCTCTGGCAAAGAATCCTTCATTCAAACCACTTGGCGCTAATATGCATTGACTAAACGTGAAAAAGTTTTGGGTTTGTTGAGTAGTCGCTTTCATTACACTGCATCTAAGTTTTCATCGCATGATGTTTTAGCCGGCACTTAATTAAAGCAGCAGCAAAGTGAGAGCGATGAGGCAGCCAAAAGTGTTATTCCATTTTTGACAATAGAAAATTTTAAGCAGTACTTGTCGAAAAAACTGGAGACCTTATCTTTGGAGATGTGGCTGTCGCCATTATAAGGCAGCGGTAATTTAATTTTCCATTCACACACACACACACACACACACACACACTGACGTATACAATTTAGTGCCTGCCACATAAGTGGTCCTTCTCACCACCTAGTTGCGCTCTGAGGGCAATGAAAATGGCAAGTGGCAAGGCTAGTCAAGGTCTCGCAGGAAGGCTGCTGCATGTCTGTCAGAGTCATTGTCAGCTGGTTTTTCAAGGCTTTCATGCTCTTACACACATCCAACTAAGGATAGATGGGGGAGTGGCGACACATTTGAGTAGTCAACACAGTTATGCACTTAGTCAAGAGTAGGTTTTTGCTCATCATTATACCCGTACTCAAAAAAGAGTTAAGGGGTATATTAGATTTGTGGTAAAAGTGGATGTGTGTAACGCAGAGAAGGAAACGTTTCCGACCCCATAAAGTATATATATTCTTGATCAGCATCAATAGCCGAGTCGATAGAGCCATGTCTGTCTGTCCGTCTGTCCGTCTGTCTTTGTCCGTCTTGAGCGCCTGGATCTCAGAGACTATAAGAGCTAGAGGCAACCAAATTTGGTTTCCACACTCATGTGATATCACACTGCTACAAGTGTATTTCAAAATTTCGCCCCGCCCCCTTCCTCCCACACAAATGACGCAAGTCTGTGGCAGGCACAATTTTAAAGATACGATAAAACGCAGTATCGTAGAGAATGACCATATCTACCAGATTGCCGAATCTGAATCAGATCGGATCATAATTATAGCCAGAATGAAGAAATTAATTTTCAGTTGCTTCCCCTGCCACCCCCGCAAACGACAACGCAACTCATTTTCCTTCTCGCTCGCACACTCTGCCGCGTTCAGTGCGCGAGCAACCCCTAGCGGAGGAGATGTAGAATCTAAATGGAACATGTACAATCTACATGTTAGATGTAGAATATACATTGTATATGTAGATGTAGATAGCAGATGTAGCCAAAATTCTAAAAAATCATAAGCTCAAAAATGTATATACTGACTGAGTACGGGTATAAGTAGAGTCGTGTCCCCAGAAACGACTCACACGTTCCTTCTCGTTTTCAATTAAAAATTTGACGATACATGCCTTAACTTTGGCCTAGTTTACGGTAGTCGGTCCACTTTTGATTACCTTTTTAATGTTTAATGGATATTTCTAATACAATAATAACTAAAAATTATTTTAAATAATATTATTAAATTTCTGTTTCTGTTCTTCAATCTTTGAAATTATCAAACATAAAATGTACCGCAATTGAAAAATGTTGAAAAAAAACCCCCAAAAAGATTAATATTTAATTTGAAAGCTTGAAATTTCCCGGGCGGTAAACGGAAACAACAATGAGCTTAAGTCCAATAAAACTTTTCAGAATGTCATACATCATTACAAACAGATGTAAGATATTTAAGTAATGTGTAAGAGCCTTCAGAGAAATTCCCATATGTGTATACTAGGCTCGGCCAAAAAACTTGTTTTTCGAAATTCAAGCGGGACACCCCCTTTTTTTGTTACCTTGGATTTAATAGTAATTAACATGTTTTCATTTTTATTTTTTTTTTTATTTTTTAGAGGTTGCTACCGAATTTAAAAAAAAAAATTTTTAATCAAGAAAATTTAAAAAAAATGTTTGCTGAATTAGTTGGATAAATGGTGAAATCTATTGCATATATATAAATACCATTCATATCGTCATTAATCAGTTATTGGCAGTAAATGACCTGCACAAGTTTTTGCGAACTAGTTATCTAAATATATCAACCTCAGCTAAACTTCTTGATTTTCACTAATCGTTAATTTTTTAACAGTAACTATAAAAATAAAATAAAAACACTTCGTTATCAATATGAAATAGTTTCTAAGTTTCAATATTATTTGAAAAAACCGACGAATTCAATTTTTTTTAATGTATATTTACCAAAAAAAGTGTATTTTCTTTTCGTGGTAGCAACCCCTAAACATTAAACTAAAAATTTCAAAAAAATTCTATAATTTTATTGAATAACAAAGAACAGAACGGGCGGTGTCCCCTTAAAAAAAAAAAAAAATTTGGGCCAGCTTAGTGTATACATTCTGGTAAGTGAAAAGGCAAAGCCAGTTCAGCCTCAATACATATAGATGTGAAAAGGACTTAATTAAAAAAATGATTATTCTGGGAATTCAGAATACTAGACCCATCTGATCTGATCAATCATAGCCCGAAGAGCAAATGAAAATCTAGCAATTTCAGCATAGGAGTAGAGACACATAAAAATGTACAAAATATGATCGTTTTTGTGTTAGATTTTATTTATTTTTTTGTTCTACATTATTATTTTGTTAATTGTGGTCAGCAATCTGGAGGACTATCCGTTGCGCGGACTGACCCCATACCAATAACTCCTCATCCTAGTCGGCCTTCACTGCGCTAGCAACAGCGAGGGTAGCAGGGACAGAAGGTGCACTGCAAGAAGGCCGGAGTGCAGGGTGAACAGCAGAGCTCCACGCAACATGGCGTACAATAGGGACCGCCACAGGGTGGGCCACAGTTCGGGCAGCACGAAGCTGGTCCACAACACATGTTCTGAAAAATAAATCAATTCTTTAGCAGGAACTATCTATCATTATGGACTGATTAAACTTACGATTGCTTAGGGGGTTTCCGTCTAAAAAGCCAAATGAAGAACAACGAGAATTTTGTTTGCTAATTTTCTTCGGTTGGGATTGCTAGCCTAATCTTAGCTTAATTACAGAACGGTAAACCCAGAACACAACAAACAAAATAAAAATGTAAATTTGTTTCTACATTAATAATTTTTGTATGTGTTAACACGTTGAATTTGAAACTACGAATGAAAAATGCTCATCGAAAGCCAATGACAGATGCTAAAATATTGTTTTTAGGATTACTAGATTTTTTTTCGGTTCTCGGAGACTCTAAAACACCAGTACGGGCATAGCAATCTGTTTTTTCGCCGTATGAAACGGTGGTTATTAGCATAGGAACTGGAATAAAAAGGAAGATTGCTTTACATTCCTTCCCCTTCCTTCCATTGAGTAATTTAATTTCTGATTAAAGTCAATGTCTTCAAACTAATTTTATGTTTTACAGCTGATTTTTGGCCAGAAAAATAATTTACTGCTAGTTTGCCCAAAACATGAAATGTATCGGTCAATGTAGTTCATGCAACGCACAAGGGGATGCATTTTCAACCATTAGCATTTTGATACCCGTACTCAAAAAAGAGTTAAGGGGTATATTAGATTTGTGGTAAAAGTGGATGTGTGTAACGCAGAGAAGGAAACGTTTCCGACCCCATAAAGTATATATATTCTTGGTCAGCATCAATAGCCGAGTCGATAGAGCCATGTCTGTCTGTCCGTCTTGCTTGACGCCTGGATCTCAGAGACTATAAGAGCTAGAGAAACTTAATTTTCAGATGTATAATATAAATGTTACATCTATAATCTACATGTTAGATGTAAAATATACATTGTAGATGTAGATGTGGATAGCAGATGTAGCAAAAAAATGTAAAATGTAAAATTTTTGTTTAAATTCTAATATTCTAAAAAATCGTATGCTCAAAAATGTATATACTGACTGAGTACGGGTATAAGTAGAGTCCCGTCCCCAGAAGCGACTCACACGTTCCTTCTCGTTTTTATTATTACTAATACAAAACAATTTAAAATATTAATTAATACTTGTTTTTTTTCTCATTTTTTATTTACTTTGAAAGCCCCTAAGCATTAAAACACTCTCATTGTTCTTATTTTTTCATATTTTGCAAGATTTTTTCGATGCTGTTGCTGTTGTTGGTATTTTGAGTTCCGTCAGAGGATGTCTTGAGAAGCTTTTCAGAGTAGCCTCTGGTGCAGTCTCTATATTCCGGATTAGTTATCCCTCGTTCGTCATGCAGAATAGCAGAATCACTGTATGGCAACTTCTCGCTGCTCGACTCCACATGAGCTGGGGAAATGGGTTGGAAACCGTCTGACTTTGGGATCACGGACACAGTTGTTTCACATTTCTGCATCATTACCATCAGCAGCCAGTCGACGGCTATAATGTACACAGCAGGACGCAGGGTGTAGCACATACGCTCCGCTGTCAGCGGCAATGAAAAGAGTCTAAGTGTGTCAATGTTCAGTCTCTGGAGTGATAAGCAGATAAGACACTTGGCTATGACGCGGTCACAATGATAACATCTTTTTTAAAAGATTTTGTTGAAATACTTTCTCTTGTAGTAAACTATTATGGCCGCATAAATCGTGGAAAAGAGAATAAAGGCCACACAGCAGGCAAAGACGGCTTTGAAATTTATTTAAATTCACACCCGCCAACGGTAAACCAAAATTTAATAAATATAATATGGTGTTTATTTGGGATTGGGTGGCGTGCCCCCGGGGGGCGGGGCATTTAGCCCATATCTAGGAAGTTTCAACAACGAATTACGATTAATTGACAATATTTAACCAAACAAGACTCACATTAAGTTCTTTTTAACTTATTACTCAATTTAAAAACTCAATCAGAAGTCTGAAGAGTGCCCAAAGATAATAACGATGATGGGGATCTTTGACTGTATTAAACTCATCTTTGATTGAAATTTCGTTCAGCAGATGGCCCTTTATCAGCTCTTTCATGGTACAGCATACGCATTTCATTAAATATTAATGTCCGAGTATGCAATAAATAAATATGAACAAAAGCGAACGCATTAACGACTTACAATTGAGTTGGCGGAGACAGAAATGAAAAAGATTATTCACATTGCTTTCTGATTCAATAAATTATGGCAAAAGCATTGCATTTCTCTTTGGACTTGAACGTTTCATATTGGAATTGTAAAGAGAGAGCAAAAGGAACTCATTCTGGCAGAAAGAAAGGAAATTTTTAATTAACTGAAGAAATTTAAGAAATGGTTGCTAATACCTATATATTTTGTTCTATCAAACTCTCACATCCGACCAATTGTCCTGTATCCTCTTGAAAAGTTGCAAACTGCCAATTGTCTAAGTCAGGACAACAAAGATGCCAGGAGGTCCAGGCAGACTTTGACTTGAGTTAGAGTTTGCTAAAAAGAATCACAAATAGTTCTCAGCTACATCTCAGAAACATTAGTAAATTGAATCTCTTTTTATATTATTTAGTTAACTTCACATATAACTATATTATATTATATTGATTTGCCAATTTAAAACTAAAAGAAAAATCAACATCATTTTGTAGGTTTAAACCAAAAATGGTATTTTTATGGTGACTTAATGAATTGAATTTTAAATGAACTTTAATGAATTTATCTTTATCATAAGCCGTTTTAAAGTTTTTAAGTTTATGACAAATGGCTAAAATCTGCACATTCAATCAGAAGTGAAGCGCATCATGCCAGGCGTATGAGCAATGTAATCAGAATTTTGCCGTGCAGTAAACTAATTCGCATTTTATATCTGATGGTGTCAATAAGTTAGCTGTTTCCAGTGGTGGTAACGGCTGTGGTACGGCTGCCGGCTTCTTTTTCAATGCGGTTAATGGATACCTGCTCTATCTGCGCTGTTCCTCCGACTGTTTTAATTTTAGCAGTTTACTTTTCGATGCTGTGCTAAACTTTCCAGCAGTTCCAATTTTCTTCTACACAGCTTCTGGGGTTTGTCTGAACTTTTAAATTGTCTCTCCTTCTTCGTTTCATTTTTTGCAGAATGTTTCTGTGTCTTTGTTAAGTAAAAATACCGTCAATTAGTTTAATTTTTATCCTAAATGTTTTCTTTACTTTTTTTTTGACTCTCCTTTCACTCTGTCTTACTCTTAATTCCGTCCATTGACAGCCCATATTGATTTGGGGTCCAATTTTCTTGCAGCTGTCAATGGCTTTGTTTCATTTCACTTTTTTATTCGTTGTAATCGTTTTAAATAGTCATCAAACAAAAAAGCTGTTGAGTTTGTTTCCGGTATGGGGTTTATTGGTTGCACTCTGGCCTCAGATTTTCATAGTTTTTAGATTCCCCATATGTCACTTAACTACATTTTTAGTTAAAGAGCAATATGATATAAATTTAGTCACTTTTTTCAGCTTACCATAAAATTGCAACCGATTGTGTGGCATGGACAGAAAATTATTCCCAAACTTTTGGCCTTTTTTTCAACTTAAACTTGACTTTAAAAATATATCCCTACATATTTTGTACATGCTCCTTGAAAATACATTATAATTTAATATAACATATAAGCATAGTATCCAGCACCGCGGAATCTAAAAATTCCTGTCAAACTTCAAGATGTAGGCAAAAACTGTGCGCAGAACAAAAAAGAGAGATGCAAATTATTCTTTTTTGTTGTGCAGCAATATATGCCGCCACCAACACAATCACTTGATCGTCAGAGTTCATTTTTTTTCCTTTTTTAATTGCAGTTGAATTCCACAATTGGCTTTGTTTACAAAATACAGTTGATTCATCAACACTGTTTTATCAATGTTCCAAACCCTCACGGAATAACTAGTAAATTCCTGGCAGGAATTTTCCGCGGGGCTGGAGACAGGCCTATACTATATATGTAATACAGTTTTTTTTCGACTTTTCCTGACTTTTCAAAGTCAAAATTTCAAAAAATACCTCACAAAAATAATCAATTTTGCATGTGAAAAATAAAAAGAAAAATGAAAATAAAAATGGAAAACTTGAAATTAGAGGAATCGGCCAAATTCAATTTCCAGTCCCATTTGTTCTTTGTCTCTAGATTTGTGGTAAAAGTGGATGTGTGTAACGCAGAGAAGGAAATGTTTCCGACCACATAAAGTATATATATTCTTGATCAGCATCAAAAGCCGAGTCGATAGAGCCTGTCCGTCTGTCCGTCTGTCCGTCCGTCTGTTCGTCTGACCGTCTGTCCATCTGTCCGTCTTGTTTGACGCCTGGATCTCAATGACTATAAGACCTAGGGCAACCAAATTTGGTTTCCAGACTCATGTGATATCACACTGCTACAAGTGTACTTCAAAATTTCACCCCGCCCCCTTCCGCCCACACAAAGGACGAAAATCTGTGACAGGCACATTTTTAAAGATACGATAAAACGTTGTATCGTAGAGATTGCCCATATTTACCAGATTGCTGAATTTGAATCAGATCGGATCAAATTAAATCCAAAATGAAGAAATTAATTTTTAGTTGCTTCCCCCACCTTCTCCAGCAAGGGACCCGCTACTCATTCTCTTTCTCGCTCACACACTCTGCCTCGTTATGAACGCGAGCGCCCTCTAGCGGAGGGATATAGAATATAATAGATGCAGAATATACATTGTAGATGTAGATAAAAAATGTAGCAAATGTAGTATAGTGTAGATTTTTTTTTTAATTCTAAAATTCTAAAAAATTATAAACTCAAAAATGTATATACTGACTGAGTACGGGTATAAGTAGATTCCCGTCCCCAGAAGCGACTCAGACGTTCCTTCTCGTTTTAGTTTTAGTTGTCCGCATTGAACTGTCATATAAAAACGTATTGATCCTATTAATTTCTTGCACTGATTTTTTACATCCTTGTTTTACGACCATTTATATGGGGCTTCCCAAAACAATATTCAATTGTCAATCATTGTCACGGATTTTTATTTTTTGTGTGCGACGTATGAATTATTGCTTAGCAGGTAGAATATTTGTTGGTACCGTATATATAAATAATGAATTCAACTAACTTTTACTTCCAGAGTTAGTGCACTCTAATAAAACATCCGTTTCGTAGGATTCAAAGAAATAATACAAAAATATATGTACTTTGGCAACCGGCGAAAATCCACTCTATTCTCTTTCGCCTATCAATTTTATGTGCCACCAAAGGAAAACTAAAC